CCCTGCCCCCGCGCGCCGCGCGGCCCCCACTTGTGTCCCATTCTTGTCTCCTGCCTCGCCGCCCCACGCGGCCCCCACTTGTGTCCCGTTCTTGTCTCCTGCCTCGCCGCTCCACGCGGCCCCCACTTGTGTCCCGTTCTTGTCTCCTGCCTCACCGCCCCACGCGGCCCCCACTTGTGTCCCGTTCTTGTCTCCTACCTCGCTGCCCCACGCGGCCCCCACTTGCGTCCCATTCTTGTCTCCTGCCTCGCCGCCCCACACGGCCCCCACTTGTGGCCCGTTCAGAATCAATCCGGAGTTCGAGGGCTGTGCTGGAGCAAGGGGAAGGGCCCTGGCAGGTGTTAAAAGCCAGCCTGCGGGGCTGCAAGGTCACATCTGGGCACCTGGGAGCAGGGCAGATAGCTGGTCCATGAGAGCAGTGGGAAGGGGAGAGGGGTCGTTAAGGCCTGAGGACTGGAGAGTTCAGAAGGGATCAGGTAGGTGACAAGGAGCCATGAAGGCAGCTGCCGGACTAGAAATGCTGGTGCCACGGCCAGGTACTTGGTTTGAAACTTTGGGTGAAGCAGGAGTGAAAGGGGTGCGAGTGCAGCGGTGCACCCCTGGATCCGCCCTGGCAGGGGCTGCCGTGTGCTGGATCCTGCCCCTCCCCCAGCCCCTCTGCATCCTGCAGCAGCTTGCAAGACTCAGAAACCAGGACTGAGCACAGTGTTCATATGCTCTGCCTCCCTGTGCCTTTTCATCCCAGCACTCCCTTGTGTGTTCACCACTCTGTTTTCCTCCCCTCTTTCTTCCTCTCTCTTTCCTTCCAGCTCCCAGATTATTTTTCCTCTCTCCAGTGAAGGCCAGCAGCTTCCTGTTGGCTTAATCCTGCTCTTAAAGGACTTCTTCACTCCATGTCCCACTTCCCTGCATACTGAGAAAAACCCAACCCGTTAGCATGGAAGAATTCATAGGTTTGAGTGTTTAGAAAAAAGAAGAAGAAAAAAGTAAGGGTGTTTGCTGTCCACAGACAGCTCTACCACAAGACAGGGCCGTGTAGGCGTGTCTGTTGACATACTTGTTTCCAGCACTTCGTGTTATGGAAATATGATTCACTTCACCTGGGAGTGACTTATCAAGTCTGCAGCACTCTCCAGCAGCTGGCAGTCGGTTCTGCTATCCGGACTTATCAGCAACATTAAGCCCCATTAGTGGAATGCAGCAACATCTGTCCCTCGTCCAGGAGCCTCCTACACCGAGGACTGAGTCTATTATTGATAAGTCTCTTTTTTAGCAACACGGCAGCCACAAGCCTCCAGCATGGAGACATGAGTGCTGTGCTACAGCACAATACCCCAGGGCCCTTGTCACAGAGATGGTCACATCTGTACCTCCGTTCTGCCGTAAGCACAGCATCCAGCATCCTTTAGCACTGACACGGTTACACTGCTCCCATCAGGTCACAAGGCAATATTAGTCAGGATGGCTTGTTGGGAGGGCCTCCAAAATCCAGTCTGCTTTATGAAATCCAAAAGATGAGTATGTTAATTAACAAGACCTCTCCATTTGTTTAATACACGCTCTCCAAGGGTATGTCTACGTGGCAAACTGAGATGTTATTATAGTGCTGGTACATTGGCATTAGCTTTCATCTCACTACGCTTGCAAAGACATGGCACTGCAAACTTTAGGGTGGGTTAGCAATCCAACCGTGTATCCAGCATCCCCCGCCGGCTTGTATGCTACACGAGCTTAGAATAATTCCTTAGCTAACAATCTCTCCTGAGCCTGAATTCGGGGGTTTAAAAATAGATGCTAGCATAAACATCAGTGACATTAAGGATGACGTTTTGGGGTCTTTCCAGGATTGTTGGCAGCAGTATTCACAGATCAGACACAGTTGACAGGATTCTTAATCTGGTCAGACAAGAGTCCAGCTGGCAGAAGATGCTGTCTGTACCTTCCAAGTAAAATTACATAAAGACAAATCAATTAGTATCAGGCTCCAGGTCAGTGTTAATTTCCTTTCATTTTGGAGGCCCACTGCCCTGAATTTTAGTGATATCATTCTTAACCTGTGATAATGGAGAAGCTTGAGAGGCCTTGTCATTAATTAAATGGTTTTTTAAATTAAAAGATCTGATCTCTCTCGCTCTGTCTTTAAGATGGGGAAATATTTAAAAATGTCTTTTCAGACTGCAAAATATATCCGCTTTCCAGGTAAATCAATTTAGTGTTTGAAAATAAAAGCTGTCATTTTCAAATCCCAAAGCCATATTTTTAGCTGAAGAATATTTATTTTTAGAGTAGTCCGAATGACTTGCTTTTTGTTTAAAGTAGCCTACGTTGGCTGATATTACTGGTTTATGTCCATGATCCCACATGAAGCGATGAGTTAATGTTTAATCACAAGAGCAGGAAAATGGTGGGATGTTTGTCGTTGAACCTTTGGCCAGGTTTGTAAACACATGTACAGTGCTAACAGTGCTAGACATTGAAAACACTGTGGGGGGGAAGTAGGGACAAGTTCATCAGTCTTCCCATTTTTCCCCTCTGTCAAATTTGGGACTGATGAAAATTGCTGGCTTGTCATGGCTAATAGACTTGTCTTCTATTTATCCATAGCATAGAGGCAGCATGGATAGCACAGGCCTCTCTGCCCAGGTCTCCCTGACAAGGTCACTCTAGTTCCTTCTGCATGTATCTTCCTTCTTTTGCCGCTGTGTAAGGGGCCAGTTGTAAACTGGACTCTTATCTGCTAGGAAATGGTCTTAAAACATCCAGTTTTTTTTACAGGCACCAAACTGCCCTCCAACATCAACAGTTTTGGGCTATTACTAACCTTTAGCCAGGTGGTGCAGAGAGGGTGCTTGTTCCCTGCAGATTTGTTTAGGGCAGGGGTGGGCAAAATGCGGCCCGGGGGCCAGATGCGGCCCACCAGGCCATTCTATCCGGCCCACGGGGCCCCTAAAAAATTTAGAAAATTAATATTTATCTGCCCCTGGCTGCCTGTCATGCGGCCCTCGATGGCTTGCCGAAACTCAGTAAGCGGGCCTCCGCCCAAAATAATTGCCTGCCCCTGGTTTAGGGGCTGGAGGCTTTCTCTCACGTTCCACAGATGCCCTGAACACTTTTGCCCCTGATTCCTTTACGTACCCACCAAGATCAGGAGAGGCACGTAGTGAAAAGCTTCAAAATGTGAGCAGTGAGAACTTGAACAGGAGTGAGCAGGGAAGGGGACCAGAAACCATGCGGGGTTTCCCCGCTCCTGCCTGCTGTGTGCTGAGTCATGCTAGGTTTGCTGTTGATGGCGTCCTGCTCTTTCCTAATTAAAATATTGCAACAAAAGCAAACTGGCCATGTTTGTCATCCACAACCCCCTCAAAGGGCCCCTGCTTTTTGCCTACTTCATCGTTCTGACTCACCTGTATCCCATGAGCACTCTCCTTTCTCCCCCAGAGTCTCGGGAGCTTTTCCCATCGCTCCCCTTCTATCATTGCGTCACAGGAGCTGCAGTGTGTTAGTGAAGACCTTTCCTGAAGATAGTACTGAATCCACACGAGACTTCTCCACATTCACATCGCCGAGAATCACTCGAACCTGATGAGCTGTTTTCATGTTTGTAGAGAACATAGGAATGTTTCAGAAAAATAAACGGATGTTAGGGAACTTCATTTACTGGTATTAAACTGTGCTTTTTTTCTATAATCCATCTTGTTCTACCCAGCCACTTCATGTGGAGGTTTACCTATATGACTGGAAAAGCTTTCATACATGGTCAGATTGTATATCTGACATATAAGCGTTGGCTCAGATTTACCAGTAATCTTTCAGGGAACAATCTGCCTTTGGACTGGACAGAACGGTGATAAAAATGGTACTTCTGTGATTCCAGTGTTGGCCGTAACATTGCAGGCTTCATAGATTTAGAGAAGTAGGGTTGAAAGGGACCTTGTAGATCATTAGGTCCGGGGACCTTGTAGATCATTAGGTCTGACGCCCTGCCTCGGCAGGAGGGAAAAAACAGGCTCGTATGACCCCAGCCAGGTAGACGTCAAGCCTCCTCTTAAAGACCCCCAGGGTAGGAGCCAGCACCACTTCCCTTGGAAGTTGGTTCCAGATCCTAGCCGCCCTGACTGTAGTGCCTTCGGATGTCTAGTCTAAACCTACTCTCCAACAACTTATGGCCATTATTCCTTGTTACTCCGGGGGGGGCGGTCGGGGGAACAAGGTCTCTCCCAAACCCCGCTGGTCCCCCCTAGTGAGTTTATAGACAGCCATCAGGTCCCCCCTCAGCCTTCTCTTGTGGACGCTGAACAGGTTCAGGTCCCGTAGCCTCTCCTCGTAGCGGCTGCCCTGCTGC